GAGGAGAGCTATTTGTAAGAGTAGCTTGTTTTGTAGAGCATTTCAAATTATTTACTTACAATGTTGCTTTATAGTAAGGACCCTACCTTATAAGTTGGCAGTGGACAGGTTTGAAACCTGCCAGTATAGACGCATAACTAAAATAAGTCATCTAAGAAGGGTGCTTGAGGCTGGATTATAATATACGAAAGACGTTTTATATCAAATCAAACACAGTGACAGTGACAGCAGTCTTTTCATGTACTATAATGTCAAATCGGATTCTGCGACACTCTCATACATCTATTTTCACATATTCCAAGCCCTCTGAGAATCTTGCACATGACAAGAGCTGTACACACTTTTAATAGGATAGGACATTTTCCATTTAAAATCTTTCTGCTGTATTTCAATTTCAATCTCCATATCTACTTGGCTCATAGTCTGGGGGAAAAAAGAAAAGCGTGAATGTCTGACAGATTCCATTTCATGATATTATATGGTTGTACGTCTGACGGTCTGAGGTTCTGCCACAATGAAGCTGAAATCTATTCCAGCATGTTATGCAGCAGGTATAGGACCATGATGCATTCTGTAATATTCAGTCTTGTGGACCGCATCCAAAACTTTGCAGACTAGGTCTTTACCCTATTAGCTTAAAACACAATCATTACTAGCATAGTGTGCACAAATTAAGCTTTCAAAGAGAGAAAATATTAATTAAATTGGATCTAAAAATAGTTGTGTTGGTAAGGAATTTGTGGCTTGTAGGATTTTATGTGACCTAGAAAAGGAGGATCAAAGGAATTTTGTTCATGGATTCAAAGTGTTCAATATTTCATGGTGGAATAATGCCGCCATGAAAGAAGTCTTGTGGTGGCAGACGAAATCTGTGCGGTGTCGAAAAGAGTGGCATTGTAGCATTGCGCTGCTGTCATTCTGGTGCTTATGTAGCTTCATTTTGTACTGCCTTGAGAAACAGACGTCAGGGCTAAAAATCACAAAAGTGAGAAGTGCGCCCTCATTTCTCTTCCTTTTCAGTTACCAGATGATTATTTCATGATGTGATCTATTTAATGAGATATTTTGCCTATTTAATTTCAACTGTCACATCTTTTTCACTCTTTGTCCTCGCCTTGCACTGATTCTTGAGACATGGGACAAAACAGGCTACAGAAGAGAAACTACGATGGAAATTATTAAAAGGGTCATGAATTGAGAAATCTCATTTTCCTTGATCTTTTGACGTATAAGAGATCCTTGTTGCACTATAAAAAAATATCCTGTAAGATTCAGAACTCAAATCTTCCTAGTTAGTCCAAACTTTTAATCCTGATCCGTTTTGCGTTCAAATTGGCATTTTTAACACCGAACCTAAAGGCAAAGGGATACGTTCTAAACCTGGTGGTCGGCTTTTATGACGTATTGCCTATTTTGAGACGGAACTGTCGTTGTATGTTGTATTCTTGTATGTGCGTAGCCTGCATGTGATGGTATTTTGACCAGCTGAGAACACGTGAAGAGCTTATAAAATGAGTAAAGAAGTCAAAAGCTGCGTGGGGACGTGATTCTGATGCCTGTACCGAACTGTAATGGCAACTTTCACGACTATGACAAGAAAAAAACTATATGCTTGAGCATTCTGTCCTCTTTAGCGTGGCATATTCCTCTTTTCAGCAATGGCAGAGACGCTGGAATTGATTTTAATATGAAAAACTGCTAACCAATCATAGTATAGTGGCTGTTTACTTGCAAGTCTTTAATACGGCATGCACATCAAAACGGATTGTTTCAAAGAGAGTATCAAAAACTGGATAGAAAATAGCCTATTACTTATAAATTAGGATGCTTTTTTAATTAAAAATTTTTTTTATGTAAAAATCTAAAATTATAAGTGGACCTCAAAGAACATTATGCAATTTTCAAAAAATGTAGTTCAGTAACCCCTTTAAAAAACGATTTCTTTAGAGAAACAATGAACTAATGGCAAGTCAAATTGAGACATGTTTTGCCTCAAGTATTTTGCATCGTGTTTTGCCTCAAGTTATAAGATTTAACCTAGCTCAGTTTGAACAGAAGATCTAGATCTTGTTTCTTTCTGCTTCTGTATATCCATATCATGCAACATAATTATGCATTATGGTGCATTACGCACTGCAGCTCCTTCAGATGAACTTTAGCTATCGGAAGGCTCTCTAATTATAAAGAACAGTGCTAGTTTTGACCTAGAAACCTCAACATTAACACAGACAGAGCTTGATATGGCACATTTCCAGTTAAAGAAGCAGCAGTGTAAATCAACGGGTTATTACATTGCATTGTGGGATACATTTGCTAATAATAGTGAAAAAGCAGACTTTAAAAAGAACTATAAGCTCTGTTCAGAAACAAATCCCCACTGTTACTGTAGAGCACCAATGCATTCTCCTCTTCTCCTCAACTCTTTCCCATCACAGTTATACTAGCCTATAGGAAAGAAAAAGGAGCTCAAAGTTATTCATTCATTTTAATTCATTTGGTATGAACGGATGGAATATCCCATGTCATTGTGCATGTATTATCACTTTTTAAACAAGGAGCCTTGACCATTCTAGTGTCAAGTATAAATTGGTAGAGGCAAATTTCGGGTAGTCACATTTTTCCGTAATATTAAATGAAAAAGGAAAATATTATTTTGCATTAAGCAAATGAAGCCAGTTTTTAAAACCATTACGATTTTTTGCAGTGTGTCATTATTTCATTATTTTCATGAGAATTAAGCACATTTCCCTCAAAAGTATCATTACCATAATGTGTCTGGATGTTTTATTTATTTTACATTTTTGTTTGCACTTATCATTATTTTCAGCAGTGATTCTCATTAGATTCTAAATACTGCTGTAGTGTACTTTGAAATTGTTTTTACCATATTGTATAAAAACAAATTGCATTGATAAATACATACTGATATATAAATTCACATAACAGTAATATATATTTTTTTAATTGCGATAATGAGAATTGTCAGAAAATAATGCAAAAAAAAAGAAAGAAGAAGAGCTGTCTCATGAGATTCTCCTGATTTGAAATTGAATCACTATTATTCTATACACTATGAATTTCTTTGGAAATCAAAGACTTTTTATCAAAGTTGTCTGATAGATTGTTGCGAAATATTGAAGAATAACAGCTTCTGGCTACCAACAATTCTGCAGTTTCTCTCTCTCTCTATATACTTTACGTCTAACACGACTATCATTTGTCTCCATGATTCATCATAAGCTAATTAAAATACAATCACCTTAGAAACAAACTTCAAAAGCTCAAACAGCTCAACCCGAGCCTCGTTTCCAGATCTCAAGCCCTTCCTTTTAGAACCTCCTTTGCTCCCACAGGTTATCAATGCGTCTTTTGATTGTTGCCTTGGAAAGTACTTCATTTATATTCCTCAGTAAAAGTGGGGCCCCCGCAGATGGCTCTACGATCAGCTTCCCCGACAAAAATCCCTATTTTAACCATTACAAGAGAGACAAACAAAAATTTTGCACAAATTTCCTTTAAAGGACAACTTTAACCAATACTTCATTGGCTGCATGTAGGGGAGAGACAGGGTCAGTGCCATTACGGTTCTTCACATTAAAGAGCCAAACCCTGACGTTCTTGTTAATTCTCAAATGGCAGTCCTGACCTACTTAACACAAAAAAGGCCTCATAAAAACTTGATGATGTGCTTGTAAGTCATATGATGAGTTTCAAATGCTATCGCAAGAATATCACAAAAGACACAAAAGTGTCCTCTTTTGAAAAAAAAAAAACTGAAATGTGTTTCATATAGCCTACATGTATGTATAGCTATAAAATATACATAGGTAGCTTAAACTCGAGAGAATGCTTGTAATTGCGATAGCTGCATTAGAAATATTTGATTATTATGATATACAAAAAAAACCCAAATACATCCATTTAATCTCAGACTAAACTCAATCTTAATGATAAAATGTAAGCATTTTGGCTCAAAAAGCTTAAGTGAGAAAGACACAACTAATCTTATACTGAATTTAACATTTGAAGAACAGACACTTTGATTAAAAAACTGAAACTTTGAAGGATCCCCTCCATTTTCTGAGACATCATGTATCTACACTGCAAAGACACACACACACACACACACACACACACACACACACACACACATTGTCATGTATAGTCTGTCAAGGTACAGCCAGCCATGAAAAGGACAAACAGACAGACAGCAAGATAGACCGACAGCCAGAGAAACAGCCATCTCTTTCTCATGTTCAATATGAATATAGAAGTTTTATAACAGATCAAGGTTGTAAATTGAATCACCCAGAACTATGGAGATTGTAGGAGCTGTCCAGAGTGCTGAATGAAAGAAATCTCTGTAACCTGTTGGTGCACTGCTGTTCACTTCAAACCATTCATTGCTAGTGTTATATTATTACTACAATCCGTTCTTTAATATAAATGTCACAACAATGGATTTATGTTTAGACCTGAATATTAATATGTACCCAGAAACAATCCATTTTAAGCAATGAGGGAAGTGTGGACAATAGGCTACTATTACCAATGTCTAAGGTTTCTAATCACACAGTCATATCAAACTGAACGTTCATTCAATAATATGAAAAACTGACTTTCTGCATTGATTAAATCGATGAGAAAGCAAACAGGTTCTTACATGCTATAATCATTAATTAATGCAGAAGCACGACATAAAATTTCAAAACAGCAATAGCATCATTGATATCCAAAATGTTTGATAATAGGCTATGCTCTTAAATTATATATCTCGTAAAACCTTTAAGGACAAAAAAAATGGTAGCCTATCTTGAGATTGTGAATCTTTAAATAATCGAATTAGTTTTTAAATATACATAATACAAAATAAAAGTTCAAACAATAACGCGATTTGATAAAGAAGCCAAGTTTTACTATATGAGGAAGTCGTGGCGAGATATATATTTATATATCTATTTTGCGCAGTATAGGAGAGGGACGCACAGAAACCCACTTACATGGACGTGATGTTCCTGAAGAGCTCTTCAATGTCATTATTGTTACTGCCATTGCCCGCCGGATCTTGTAGAGCAAGTAAAGGGAAGAAATTTCCACTGTCGGACTTATTGCAATAGATCTCAGTGGGCGAACAGCTGCATGTTGGTGGACAATCGAGCATGGAGCTCCAATAACCCTGGAAGATGCTTGAAAGAAAGAAAAGCCTCCAGGTGAACACAGGAACCGCTGAACAGAACCATATATCCATGACTTTTGGGTCCAAAACGACTCGACGTCTTCCAGGGCTGATGAGGATGGTGATGATGAAGATCGCTGATGGAGATATGAGTGTTTAATATCTAAATGCGTTGGCTACATAAGAGTGCGCGCGCCTGGGAACATCATATGAGGTTGGGCTCGTAATCTAATCGCCTTATCAAAAGAACAAGAGCAAATGCCACAACTCGCCTCGACTTTCCGTTCCACAGTCCATCATAGAGATGCTCTCAGTGTCCAAGCTGGAGGAAAGTACTGCTGAAAGCGCGATGCTCCGGATGACGAGTATAAAGTCCCACCTACTGGACAGAATTAAGACTGACACCTGCAAGAGGAGGAGGAATCCGATTTCCGACCAACAAAGGCTTTTATGTAAGACTTGCGCAGGAAAAAAATATATAAATCGATTTGAGTTTATTCCTCTTTCATTAGTGATGGGTTTCCCCTATGTTTCCGTTGTTTTCTGTCACTGATATTTCATATAGGCTACCCAGTAAATTGATTTGTCAAGTAGAGAAGGCCGGGGCTAGTTGTCACACGAGGACGTCGTTGTCATATGGTCTAATTTCATTTATTTATTTAAATATCGACATATTTTATATAACCTATAAAACCACACTGACATATACATTCAAACGAGATTTTGACTTCCAGGTTGAATTGTGTTCTAAAAAAAGGTTTCATAAATGTTGTCGTCATAAATGTCAGGAGGACGTTGTGTTTAATATGCTGTACAAATAGAAAACTAAAAATATATGTTAAAGGTTCGTTCAATGATACTTTCCTCATTAGAGAAGGTGTACACATGTTGAAACAAATAGTTTTTAAAAAAATATATATTTTTTAAAAACTTAAAAATATCCGGCCACTCAAGCCAGCCAAATATATATATTTTTAAAGACCACCTTGAACATGTGTGTCTACAGTAACATTGTGTTTCAAAAAAAGTAAAACGTTCCCTGGACAACTAGCAACTACTTTTAAGACTGTATATTTTAACATTTAGTGCAATGACTTTCCATTGCAAGTGCATTAACATTATAATTTTTGCTTGTTTTAAAAAAAAAAAAAATTAGAGTGCAAATTGTTGTGTGTGGTAATTGACAGCAAGCCTGTAAACCACAGTTGAACTTTCTTCAACCCGAACACTCCTTGAACCTAAAACAAATGTGCTTCATGTACTAAGCTACCATAGAAATGAACAGTTTTTATTACAATGTGACTGAATCAGCGTGACTATTGAGTTACATCAATAAAAGTCACTTTATTGTTTAAGTCAGGTATAAACAGCTTCTAGTTCGCTAAATAGCTTCAGGGGACAGTTGTGGCCTAATGGTTAGAGAGTCAGGCTGGTAACCCGAAGGTTGCGGGTTTGATTCTCAATACCGGCTAAATGACTTGAGCATGGCACCTAACCCCCAATCGCTCCTCGGGCGAGACAACAAAAATGGCTGCCCACTGCTCCGGGTGTGTGTCTCCACGGTTTGCAGTGTGTGTTTGTTCACTTCTCACTAAACATAATGTGTGTGCACTGGATGGGTTAAATGTAGGACAAATTCCAAGTGGGTTACCATCCTCATTTACTCAGACTACATGTAAACAGAGCAAGCAAGACAAGTCTATAAGGAAAAGGCATATTTTAATACATTTTAAATCCCAAAGAGACTTTTTGAATGCATAACAACATCAGTGAAATCCTAGTTTAAAATAAACCCTTCACGCACATTTTCAAATAAACAGTCATGGCAAATGGATTCTGAGTTGCCCTGTGAATATTTGAGTACTTGATCAATTTTCTTTCACAGGTAAGATCTCGGGTTTTTTTAATAGTGTGGTCAGTGTTGTCTTGCATTTCAAGTTACAGCATCTTGACATTCCGGAATCTTGATGCGTTTTGTAGATCTTAAGGGCCAAATTTACTTCATGAGAGCGTAATTCCAAAAAGCGCCGATTGGAGTGGAAAGTTCTGCAAGTGATCTACAACGCGCAAATTAAAGAACACAGACGCAGCCGGATCATTTCCATAATGACCAACGCAATCTAGAGCAGCACAAATTATCGCTTGGTATAAGACGTGCTTTTTTGGGGGAGTAAATAATGGTGCAAATACCTGTAAATTGACTAGCGCAAACCTTAGTAAATCACCTTGCATGATCAATTTAAAAACTGTCCTCCCATAAATTTTGTCCTCCCAAAAATAATTGTCCACGTCTTTTCAGCGCTAATTTTTCAGTGCGTGTCTTTAGTAAATCCTAAAAGTAGGGTTTTTTTAACGCCAAAAGAGGGCTGCAAGCCTTTAGTAAACCCCCAATCATTGAATCCATTCACACCCCTTCTATAACGGACTGGTGCTGGTCTGAGAACCACAGCTAGACTAAAGCACATTATCTGATCAGCAGGACACTGGTTGTGGCCTGCTCTTCCCGAACCTTTTCATGTTAAAATCCAGGAAAAGGACAGTCAAGACAATCAGTGACCTGGTCACCCCGATCATTACATCTTTTAAGCACTGCCTTCCAAGAAGTAATTCAGAGCAATCAATGCAAAAACAGCCAGGTTCAAAAATAGCCCTCACGAGCAATTGAAACACACAAAGATAGCCTATTTGTGTTTCTGTTTGTGTGTGTGTGTGTGTGTGTGTGTGTGTGTGTGTGTGTGTGTGTGTGTGTGTGTGTGTGTGTGTGTGTGTGTAGTGGTTAAAGTGGGATTTGGCAGGTGGGGAAACCCTCAAATTTTGTGTAGGTGCAACAGGGTAAAATGACTCACCGTGGGACAACATATTGAGTATCGTGGTATAGCAATACTTTTTGGGACAAGAGTGTCACTGTGGCACCAAGTATCACAATACTTATTTACTTGATATTTTAATGGTTTTATTTTGGTCCATCTACTGATATGATGACGGTATGTTAAAATTGCTGAACACCACAATATGGAACACAAACTTGTTTTCCACAATGTAAATTTAAACATAAAAATGGGAAGTCCAAAACTGACTCAAAATTAACATAACAAAATGGCGAAAGACAACTAAAACAGAAATAAATATCATATGTGTCTACTAGTTAATTCACTCAAGGCTAGGAAAGCTGTAGCCTAAGTCAGTATTTAGGAAAGTCAGCCAATAGGAACCTTCAACAAGCTTTGGAATTTAAAAAACGTCTGTTTTTAAATGTTAAAAATAATTTTAAATAATACAAATTATAGGCTACGTTTACCACAGTTGGTGGAATTGGCAGACGTTCCCTTAGGCATCATGCGCTGTGGAAACGCGTCAAAGGAACCCATTTTTTCTAAATGGTTTCATGCATATAGTCGTGTTAATAGTGTCCTGTGTGAACGTGTTTTTTTGTTTAGTTTTTTCTTGAAAATCGTATTTGAACGTGCGGCAACTATAGTTGCCGGTGGGCTAATGTGTTTTATGCACCCCCTCAATGTCAAATTTGAATAGGAGGAGAACATTTGGCATCTAACTCAAAATAACTGCTTTCATCTTTATTCATAAACAAATGTATTATGTATAAAAGTCGAAGAACATTCGATGCAAACCCAAAAAAGCTGCATCTAGCTAATAATCTCTTGAATATGAAAACACAACCTTTTTTTTTTACAAAAACTGCCAAACTTTGACAAAAAGCAACTTTTATTGTAATAATTGGGATTTCGTAATATGTAGATATGAATCCAACTCGAAAAACTTGTGAAAATCTGTCTTTTAGTTACTTATACGTTTAGTTACTTTACTTATAGTAAATAGTGGAGCTCTGCAGCCACCTACTGGTTAAAGTGATTAAAGTGATCATTTTTTACTTTTAAAACTTTTCCAAAAGATCCCCATGAATGAAATTTAGAAATGTGTGTACATAAAAAGCAGGGGGGGGGGTTTTATAAAAAAAATATTTGTATTTATTTATTTTTTATACATTTTGTGGAGTAAAAATGTCAAAATGTGACAGGAAGGACGTGAATACCTTTTTTTCTTTTCTTGAAATCCTTTATTTGGTTGTTTGCTTGCATGTCATTGAGAAATAAAACATGGATAACATCTAAAAAAATTTCTCGCAAATGCATTTGTGCCCACTTTACCGCGCTCAACCACTGTGAGTGCATTTCACGCATTTGTAATTGCTCGCGTTCAGTGGGGAGGAGAGGAAGGACTTTGTCTGCATGCGTGAACCCGCATGCACTGAGAACCGTGACTGAGAATATAGTGTCGGGAAGCGTGTTTGTGAAGGTGGGGCCAGGGGGTGATATACGTTTTGATTTGATAAATGATAAGAATAATTGAATTTTATGGGAATGATTTGATTTGAATCTATTTATTTATTAATTTATCTGAGGTGCCGGCCCACTTACCCCTGTGTGTGTGTGTGTGTGTGTGTGTGTGTGTGTGTGTGTGTGCGTGCGTGCATGCGTGCGTGTGTGTGGTCTGGGTAAACACTATGTTGTGGGACCAAAAGATCCTCCAGTAATTTTTAAAAACTCAACGGGCCCTATCATACAACCGGCACAATGTGGCGCCAGGCAAGTGTTTTTTGCTAGTTTCAGCCCGATGCAGTTATCATTTTCACGTCCTGCAGCACGTTGTTTAAATAGCAAATGCATTTGTGCCCATTTGTGCGCCCCTGGGTGTGCTGGTCTGAAAACGAGGTGTGTTCAGGCGCATTGTTGGTGCGTTGCTATTTTGAGGCAACTGAAATAGACTGTGTCATTGACGAACTGAAACCAGGTCTAAAGTCAATGCACGTACACTTTGTCCCGTAGATGGTCTACTTGCGCGCTTTAACCTCGCGCACGAGCAGATCAGTTTCCTTGTTAGAGCAGCGTTCAGGTTTTCCGCTTGCAAATTCCGCCATGACAGCGTCTGAGCGAATCCGCAATGGCACCAGCTCAACTGGCTTTTAATGGGAATGGGAGATGAGACTCTGATTGGTTTATTGCACGTTACACCTAAAACACACCCATTACTCATTAAGAGAATAGGGACAACCCTTTTAGACCATAAGCAGGGCTCGCTGACCATTTTTCCCTTCATTAAACTAGCAAAAGTGAATTCGGACAGGCCCTAAGTGCACTTGTGCTGTGCGCTTTAGACCATGTGCTTAGATAGTTAAAATAGGGTCCAAGGGCTTAAATACACACAGGCTAACTGACTAACAATACACGTGATAACAATCAGGCCCTGCATATGAAAGTGTAAAATGCTGCTTTCAAAGCATGCATTCCAAGGTAGGAAGGCATCAAGGCACTTCTGAATCCAATGTTAGGTTAACTCCCTGTCGCCTCCTGAGATACCTTCATCTGATACATTTTTGAAGGCAGCATAGATGTATCGTTCGCTGCTTTTGATATCGCACT